AAATTCATCAGAACGTCATGAAACAAGGCTAAGATATGGGAAGGGAAGACAGCCAAATGATTGTCTTCAGGTGACTTGAAGGTTCTCTGCAAGTCCTCTCACAAGCCCATGAGCAGACACTCAACACCCAGGCCCCACATTCCTAAGCACCTTGGAGGTGTCACGCCCTGTGCCGGGCCCTGAATTCATCAGGAATAAGGGCTAAGTCCTGCCCTCAAGGAGAAGCCACAGACTCTTAGAAAACGCAGGAGCTGCGACAGAGCTTTGGAGACCATTAATATGTTCATACTTGAGACCCCAGAGGAAGTCTGCCTCTCTGACTGTCAACTTCCTGCCTAAAATACTCGGATCTTGTTACCCCAGTCATGCTACCACCCTCTGCTCAAATCTTTGCTGCCGTCAGTATTTCTCAGGACTGGCAAGTGGAAACCCTGCCTGAGCTACCTCCTGTCTCGCTTCAGGACAGCCCCTTTGTAACAGCGGCTCAGGCTGCCCCAACACACAGGGGCTCTCTCTTCCTGCCCTCTGTCAGGCAGGCCTGTCCCTGCTTCCTCAATAGGCCAGCTCTACCTGGGCTTCAGGATGCAAAGCCTCTCTGTGCCCTTATGGTGGCCACTGTGCCTGGGAACATACTGCCTCATGTTATCCTCCAGCAGTGCTGGGGTGGGAGTGGCACCCCTTTGCTAGTAGACTGTGAGCCTCATAAGGGCAGAGACAGAATCTGGGTTTTTACTCTGCTATACTTCTACCCCTGCCCCACAGCTGGCTGGCAGTAAATAGCTGCCGAGTGAACAAGTTGGCAGGCCGTCCTCTTGGCTCCCACACACCCCTCATTTCTCTCCTGCCACACTGAGCCTCCTGAGGGCACCTTTGTCATGCCCTGGATCATTAGGCTGTGGCCGGGAACAAGCACACACCAACTGCTCTCACAAGCAAAACTCTCTGCTGGTGACCTGCTAATACCCCAACCCAGGCCCCAGGAGGCACTTACTTGCCAGGATGCGGGGGCTGAGGGCTGGCCACCTGATTCTGCTTGGCTTTCTGCTCCATTTTGGCTTCAATTTCCCGTTTCTTCTGAGCTATGAGTTCTTCCTGGTGAAGGATGTTCATGTTCATTTTTCCAGATTTGGGGGGAGCAACCCCAAACCACCGGTTAGCCTTCCCTGGGAAGGGAAAAGAAGCACATCAGAAATCATCTTTTGGGCAACCCACTCCGGTCCCCTTCTACTGCTGGGAGAAGCTCTGCAAAAAATAATATAAAAAAAAAAAA